GAAAAATGTTATGAAGAGATCTCTGAAAATGTAGTTTTTACTTTAGCTGTAGACACTAATTTACACATAAATGATTACTTTTGTAATATTTGATATGTTTTGTGATTTGATAGGCTTTGTTCTGTATAAATGAAAAAGGTAAGAAAGAGAATTAGGGTTATTATTTCCATTTCAAACCGATCAGCAAAGCAATTCTGTTCAATATATCCTGAAAATATTTATTTTGAAGAGTGTCACTTGTGTATGTAACAACATCATCCTAGAATTTGTTTGCAACATTTATTTTCTGTTGTTTTAAATCCCCAACAAAGCAGTTTCTCTTATTATTATTTTTATTTATGGAAAAATAAAAAAACAATAAATAAAAATAAAAAATAAATTTATTTATGGAAAAAGAGCCAATATTTGTTTACAATCCTGCTAGTAATAGGGAGCATAAGAAGAAATCTATGAAGTCAAGATAAATTAAAGATTGAATATGATTTGGCATTACTTCTGAACCAAAATTTAGAAAACAACTTCAATAGTGTTTAGATTGAAAAGCTATTTGAATTATTAAACTTTATACAATACGACTAACAGAAAATAGCACAGTATTCTTTTGATTATATAAAATGGATTTCTATGGCCTTTATGTACAGTTTTCTGCAAGCCATCATCAAATCAAAGCTTTTATGAGTCTATAAGCTCAAAATCCTGGAAGTTGTCAGTATTGTTAAATACAAAAAAAAATCTTGATCTGAGGCATGGATTCTTTTTTGAATCTTCATAATTTTTGTATAGAGTCCCAATAAACATATCATCAAGTCTTACAACATGTATAAAATAATAGTGCTACATGCAATCTGTAGCAATCATAAAAATTCATAAGAATCCATATTTTCAGTCTATATTTTTGTGTTCACTCTGGAAAACTATCAGACAAATGACATTCAGTGCTTGATATGTTGAACAGAATCACTCTACCCTATATAAGGAATGCAAAGAGCAATTACATCCTCCATTACATCCTCCTATCCATCATTTGTAACCTTTCCATTTTTCACCAGAGAAAATTTACAAATGAGGAAATGGTAGATATGCTGCATATTCACAGGACTCTGAATCCTCCACCCAGAAGCAAACATAATACACATTAGCTACTTTATTGTTCATTATTCCACCCTAAAACAAGTGAGAGCAGTGCGGTGGCCTAGAGGTGAAGATGCTCACCTCCCACCTAGAAAGTTGAGAGTTCAATCCTAGATAGTTGCAGATGTTTCTCTATCGGGGGCGCAAAGAGAAAATATCTGCTGCAAACTCCATGTAGATGTTAGGAAGGTCATCCAGCCACTAAATGTTCAGCTCCATTCAATTGCCCTGACTCCATCTCAGATAAAGGGATTACAGGGTCATAAAATGAAAATAAAATTTCACCTCAAAATAAGTATTGTCTGAATACAGACAGAGTGACATAATAAAGACAATAAGATTTCATGTTCAAATGAATGTTATCCTTTAACCAAGTCCAAGTTTATCAAAGCACACATGGAAAAACACACTGAGTTGTAGTCTCTCTCTCTCTCTCTCTTTCTGCATGTTTTTATGTTTGTGCAAGAGAGAGAGAAAGGAGAAAGAGTAGTAAGGAAAGAGGGTTTCTCATAAAGTAATGTGTTAAATGGAGAATCAGCTAGTATAATTGGTAAATGATGTTTTTCCTTAGTCGGACTTATGTAGAAGCTACTTGAGTTTCATCTGTAAGAGGCAGCAAGATTTGTAGATTTTCCCAATGAGTGATTTTGGGGAAATCAAAGATGGCTTCCACTTGTCACCATTGGGAATCAAGTGATTCCCATACATAAGCCTGGCTGTTTTGTTATGTTGGAAGGAAAAGCCATCTGGTTCCGTTCCAAGCCAGGAGAAAGGCACTGGAAACAAAATGGAGGTTGGAGGCTGTTTGGAAAGAGAGGTTTTCTTTATTGATGAAGCAGAACTACCAACCACGTGTGATTCTGGGCAGCTGACAAAATGGAGTTTAGACTGTTTTTTTTTTAATACCTTCTGGATTCCTATGGGATTCATGTAGGGGTCATAGCTGGCTCCATAGGGAAAAGAGGAAATACAGATCATACGAGTTTGAGCTAATTTTGTCAACCTTTTGTTTGTTGCTTATTTGAGTTTTTGTCTCGACCCATTCTTTCTGAATGGATTACCAAATCTGCATTTCTAAAAGCTAGCCTCCTCAGTTTTTGCTTGTGGCAGGGAGACTTGGGCTGGTTTCTGCCTCCCTTAAGATTTTTTCATTTCTCCTTTAGAGAAAATATTGTATCCTGCCTTTTTAAACATTTCCCAAAATATTTCATTCTTCTGGGGTGGGGGTGCGGTCTTCCCATAGTTAGATTAGTGCTTCTCAACTTTGGCAACTTTAAGATATCACTTCAACTCCCAGAATTCTCCAAAGTACTGATGAAGGTTTCTTGGGAAGAATTAATAGCTGCTGGAGAAAGAAGAGGGTAATCAGAGCTTGATAAGATTTGCCATGAATAATACATTAAAATAGTTTTAATTTTTAGTTGGACATGAAGTTGGTCCGGATAGTAGTTTTTGTTTTTAAATATGCCATTTCTATTTGCAATAAAACAAGAGATTGCTGTATTTTTTGCTTGTTTAGTTTGGGGGTTCTGTTGTCTTCATATTTTATGGAAGAGATGCATTTACTGTATTTTATAGTTCAAAGATATGTTGATATCACAGACAATATTAATTTGCTGTGGAATGATAAGATGATTATTCACGTTTGTATATAAAAAAAGAATCCTATGGTAAACATTTTGCAAACAGACCAGTGTATCCTTTCATATTTATATTTGAACATTAATTTAGTTCACATATCAGATGCTTGTTTGCTTAAAATCCCTTGCATAGTATTTAAACAATTACAGTCTGTAATCTTTATGTATGGGGTATTATCAGATGGATGAAATAAGATTTAATAGACATTCTGGAGGGAAATCCAATATGAAAATGAGAATGAAGGCAGAACTGTTAATATTTGTGCCTGACTGGCTCAGAGAAGGAGATAATCCTTCAAGAGTTGATGGTGCTTTATTAAAAACTTGTAAGACATTATGAAGACCAACAAAATTGATCCTGTATGCTTTGTAAAAGTAGTGAACCGTGGAGACTTTTGAAAAGGTTATGTACAAATTACAGAACAATTAGAAGTAAACAATTGAAAAAACCCAATCCACTTAATGATTTTAAAAGTATGAAAATAGGTGGTGGTCCTAATTTTTTAAAATTAAATTATTAAATTCAGACTAATATTTGTTATAGCAAAAAAGACCAGGTGATTAACATTTTATTCAAACATTGGATATTCATGTTTGTTTGTTTATTTGTTTTGCTATGAACTGATAAACTATTAGTGGTTGGGAAAAAATCTAAGTTTTTCCCTGTATAAGACAGCACCTGCTAGATGGGGTGAAGCTGAAAAAGTCAATCTGATAAGTGTAACTGCATGATTAAAGGCCTTTTTAGTATGCATTAAACATGGCAAAAGGGAATTTTCCAGAAAAACATACACAATTCTGTATTTACAGTAGATTTCACTTCACTAATTATGTGTATACTGTTCTACAAAATTACAGAGCATTTTACAGTGCCTTCTCTGTTTTTCTCTCTTGGTTCTGCGGTTTCTTTCTGGGGGTTTATTTCTGGCTTGCTAATGCTTTATCCTAAAGAAGAGGGAAATAACTCTTTTCTGGGCTTGTGGGACTCCAACACCCTTGTCAAGCTATTCTCCTTGACATCTAGCTGAGAACTATAGACTTTTCCATTAGCCATTTTGCTCAATGAACCTCTTTCTTTGGTTCAGTTTCCTCCTGCTGGGTCCCCGATGGCAGATACCTCCATCTCGATATATACAATATTACAAGTCCATGCTGTATAAGAATGACTCCAAACATGTCCAACAACAACCTTCTCTGCCATTATATGATGCTTTTGCCCTTTTATGGTTTATAATATTTACAGCTGGAAGACAGGTGTTTTAATTAAGCTTCAAGCTTCTCTATGACACAGAATAATTTTGAGCCATAGACTTCGTGACTGTTGTGTGTATATGTATGTATGTATGTATTTATGTATGTATGAGAGAGAGAGAGAGAGAGAGAGCAGGGTGTTATGGTTTTGGTCACTAGCTCAACCTTCTTATTCTTTTATAACAGGGGTGTCAAACTCAATTTTATTGAAAGCTGCATAAGAGTTGTATTTGACCTCAGGGGGCTGGGGTGGGCATTGGCCAGCATGACATCACTTGTATCGGGGGGGGGGGGGGGCCTGTGGTGGCTCTAGTACCGTGCCAGTGAAAATGGGCTCCCATTGGCTGCCATAGTCTCCTGCAGCCCTCTGCTAGTGAAAACGAAGCTCATGGCCCTTGCAAGCACTGTTTTTGCTGGCAGAGGCATTGTGGGCCTGTCCTTCTCTATTTCCAGGGCAGCCCTTTGATTTGCTGGATCTGGCCCCCAGGCCTTGAGTTTGACACTCTTGTTCAAAAAGCTGTTGGAGCTGTGTTGCAATGATAACTGTTGTAACAGCATTTGTGAAGGACATCAGGTTAGAACTGGTAACAGCAAGCACCTTCTAAGGACTAATGCTGATTTAATCATCTACTCCTTACCTTCTGCATAAATGGAAATAGGGTGGCTTTGTGAGATTATTGCCAATTTAATATTTTCTGAATTGTATAGATAGCTAACAAGGTCATTAATTACTGTACTGTCCTATATTGTTAGGTAGGGTCAACCTCATAGCCATTTTTGGAAGAAAATGCAGGAGAGGGCACAATGCTATCTTTAGATAATCTTGGTGTGAGCTGCGATGATACCTTAACCTGCTATTCTAAGTTTAGATTTTGGTGTTGGTGAAAAAGTTTAAATCTCTCATTTCTACATGATCTTTTTAAGGAGGCTGATTGGTACAACCATTTTGTACAGTACAACTTTACTTTCTCTCTCTAGGTCAAAGGACCTAATAAAGGAAGCTATCCTTGACAATGACTTCATGAAGAACCTGGAATTGTCTCAGATCCAGGAAATTGTGGATTGTATGTATCCAGTGGAATATGGCAAAGACAGTTGCATCATCAAAGAAGGAGATGTTGGCTCACTGGTATATGTCATGGAAGGTATGTTACACAATTGAGAACTGAGAATTTATATGAAGTATATATATCCGTATGCTTGCTTTTCCCCTTATTTGATTGCCCAGAAATGACTTCTGGCAGACAGGAAGCGTTATTGAATTGTTCAAGACCATCATAATACTTTGAAACAACTCTTAAATGATTACAACTTGGTTTAGGTCTGGTGTGCTGCATTTAGGATTTATTCTAATGAAGGGAATCATTACATATCACAAGTCTCCTTTTTATTTGCTACAGGATTGTTTAAAATAATCCAGGTGAAGTAAGAATGTTGACAAATAAACACTCTCAATAAGGGAGACTTATATAAGACAGATTTCAGTTGTACCCTCCTCACAATTCTTCACGAACTAGTGTGAAGCCAACTTTTGATTGTCTTTTCTTTGGCCTCAAAATGCTGAAAATGGGTGAGAAATGCTGGCAGCCATTCCATTTTTTTCTCTAGTTGACCAAAGAAAAAATTCTAAAAATTGGGCTCAGGTGATGTCCCACCCTTTCAGCTAATCATTTCTTTATATTCAGGATATTAGGAACATGCAGCACAAATATGCTCTCGGGAGCTTTCTAACATTCTATTGTAAGTTCCTTTGGTGGACAAGTGAATCTGGAATAAGGTGCATTTGAATTTAAATCAGCTGAAACATACCTGTTCTAAAGCATCTTTTCACACCCCCTTCAGCAACTCTTTTAGCCAGACATCTATTGTCTTGGAATTGTGTGGCTATTGTGAAAGCTCAGAGAAAGAGCTCAGATATGTCTAGCCAATGCAAAAATCATCAGCAACAAAAAATAGAAAACAAACAAATAAAAAAAATGGCCACTTCTTACAGCTAGGAGCAAACCTGCTATGAGGATCTCCTTTTCTTGATTTTTATTGAAATGCCTTTGGAAATAATGATACTGTACTGGAAAAAATAGCATGGTGCCAGGCTTTTTAACCATGATTCTAGCTAAGGGGAGTATGTATGTATATGTGTGTGTGCATCACTAGTAGTTCGCTTGATCCCTGGAGCTGCGATATGGGCTGAGGGAAGGATTTGATATAGGCTGCTTATATAAACAGAAAATCAAGCCGAGAGATCTTTTTGCAAGGGTGGTGAAATTGACTGGAAACTGACCAGGAGTATTAAGATCAAGTTAGCTGATTAGTTCTCTGTATTTCTTAGCAGTTAGGTTGCTGTGGATGCTGGAGGGAAAAAACTTGTCTGTAAAACCTGGAAGATTTGATACAGCAAAAGCCATACACAGACCTCTTGCATACCTTGGCATTATGAAAAAATAAATAAATCCAGTTTTGTTCTAGTTAAGAGTGCAGAGGCATAAAAATGCCAGTTGGGGCTTCAAAAGATCCAGCGTCATGGGAATGAACAGAACCTAATCTGGAGCTAGTGAAAGGAAAACAGTAATTACCGTATGATTCTGTTACCGAGCTGATTGCATTCTCTGTGCAGATATTCGCTATATGGACAAAGGGCAGAGTAAATATGGAACTTGTTATTTTGAAGACTATCTAATGCCAATCGTATGGTTAAAGGCACCACTTTCCCCCTTCTTACAGTTTAAAGATTGGTGTTTGTTTCAAATCCATCTCATGGAAACTGACAATAGCACGAGAGTTTATGAATTTTTTTTACTGAGATGTCTTTTAGGATTCTGTTTTTGAAATGATTTTCTTCCCATTTGCAGTTGATTCTGAAGGTAGCAGTTTTATTTTGAAGAATGCTTGAGGTTTGTGGTATATCCTATACCAGTGATGGCAAACCTTTTTGTTGTGGTGTGCTGAAAGCACGTGAGTGCTGGCATCCACAATGCAATGCGCCCCGCCCCCCGCGCCTGCATGCGCCACCCCCCCCCCCCCCCGCACCCTTACCTGCACTGCACATGTGCGTGACTCCCAGCTGATTTTCGGTCTCCCAGAGGCTTGAGGGAAGCCTCTGCAGCTTCAGGAGGCTGAAAAACGGACTTTCCGGAAATATCTGGAAGTGCCCATTTTCAGCCTCTGGAGGGCCTCTGGAGCCTGGGGGAGGCCGTTTTCACCCTCCTGGGGGCTCCAGGGAAGCCTCTGCAGCCTTTGGAGGCTGAAAAATGGGCCCGTTTTGTCAGTTCCGGTATTCCAGTAAGTGTGGCTGGGACTCGCGTGCCTGCACAAATGGCTATACATGCCACCTGTAGCACGCGTGCTGTAGGTTCACCATCATGGTCCTTACTGTTTCGTTATTTACTTAGCCTTAAATTTTTGTCACTCTCTCTAGAATATAATGTTCTGAGTTCCTTTGTTACATTGAAACATAAGAAACAAGGCAGAGTCCTTTCTCACTCGGTCAAAAGATTAGAAATTTCAAGGGCAGAATTGCAATTGGTATATGTTCTGACCCAGCTTCCTAAACACGACAAACCCTCTGAAGTTAACTCAAAGATTCCTTTAGTAGGAGTGCCAGCAGCCCCGGCAAAAAGTTTCTCTCTCACTGCAGGCTAACAAGTCGGACCGGCCGGGAGATGAATAGTTGTCTGCCACATCTATTCAACTCCACCGTCTGCCTTTTATTCCCAGACCTAGGGTGGGGCTTCACTAACAGTGGTGGCTCTTCCTTCCCAAGGATCGGCCCACAGATTTCCACTGCTCTCCTCTCCTCTGCCTTCTGTGCATCCGCACATCAGGCACTGGACCTGTTCCTCCTCTCATCAGCCACCTCCAGACCAGGGGACTGTTGACTGTCCATCTGAGGGCTGACGGACGGCCCAGGTCTGCCTCTGTCTCTCTCTCTCTCTCTGACAGCTCCATTTCCTCTTCCCCCTCGGAGCTCTCAGGCTGCCTTGATGCTGACCTTGAGTCCCATGCCTCCTCTTCATCTGATTCAGCTGTTGGAGAGGCCGTTGTCCGACAGGCCACAACAGTATAATTCTCACTGTGTAAGGATAATTAATTTTAAAACCACTGTTATTCCTCTGTAAGGGATCAAAATGGGGAAAAATACAATACTTTTATGTTATCCTTGATGTAAAGTACCTGGATATCCTCATGTATTTTCTTTAATCTTCTTTTGTACATGATGTGAAATACAATGTTTTTGCAGTTGTGTCAGATATTCTAACAGAAGAGACAAAGGAGTTTACATTCCTGAGAACCTCAAATAGGTTTAATAATCTGTACCCATGTCAGGGGTGGTATCCAGCGGGTTCTGACCAGTTCTAGAGAATCAGTAGCAGAAATTTTGAGTAGTTCAGAGAACTGGCAAATACCGCCTCTGACTGCAGATTTTACAGTATCCTTCCCCTGCCACACCCACCAAGCTACGCCCACAGAACCGGTAGTAAAACAAATTGAATCCCACCACTGACCCATATATAACTATTTCTGAGATATGATGCATTTGAGAGAATGGACTATATTCTGTCACTGTCTTTTCAATGTTTTGGGAAAAAGCAAGTGACATTGTATTTCTAAATTTCTTATACTTTCAAAATATAGTGACACACATTAGAGCCCTATTCTTGGTCATAATCATTAGTGGTAACTTAAGATACCAATTCTGACTAAGCGAGCTGCTGTTTTTGTTGTTGTTTTCTTTACTAAGGAAATGAAAGTACACTGAAACGACAGGTAGTCCTTGAGTTATGACCATAATTGAGCCCAAAATTTATGTTGCTAAGTGAAACATTTGTTAAATGAGTTTGTGCCATTTTTATGACTTTTCTTGCCACAGTTGTTAAGTGAAGCACTGTAGTTGCTAAATTAGTAACACGGTTGTTAAGTGAATCTGGTTTCTCAACTGACTTTGCTTGTCAGAAGGTCATAGTGATCACATGACCCCGGGACACTGCAAATGTCATAAATGTGAATCAGTTGTCAAGTATTCAAATCAGTGGTTGGATTTGACCGGTTCTGCCCGGTTCTGGAGAACCAGTAGGAGTGATGAGCAGCGGAGACTGAACCGGTTCTTTCGGCTGCTCTGCTGTTGGGCCCACCCGCCTGCCCGGGCTCCCATACTCACTTTTATTGGCAGAATTTGAAGGGCAGCTGCTTTGCACAGCACAAAATAGTGTCGCGCAGCAGCTGCTGAAGCGACCGGCATCGTGCATACTTGCAGGAGGCGAGTTAGAACGCCTCTGCGCCTGCGCAAAGTGAGCATTTGGCACACACATGCACGCAAAGTGTGTGCATACGCGCAAAACGTGCCCACCAAGCCACGCCCATCAAACTGGTGGCAACAATTTTTGAATCTCACCACTGATCCAAATGTAAATCACATGCCCATGGGAATACTGCAACAGTCCTAAGTGTGAAAAATGGTCATAAATCCCTTTTTTCCAATGCTGTTGTAACTTCAAACGGTCACTAAGTGAACTGTTGTAAGTCGAGGACTACCTGTAGTAAGTTTAGACAACATAGATTGTCTAAACTATAAACAACGTAGTGGTCAAGACTCCAGTTAAAGTGTTAATTTGACTATACATTATCGAATATTGTACTTTTCATACAAACTTGGACACTATATGCATTGTAAATTTATATAAATTCCTCTTAGCTTTTCTGTCTATTGCTTGTTCAAGAAGGCACACAAAAATGTGTTGGCAATTTTTAATTGGTTATTCATCGATATCAGAGTTGAGTAGATTTATATTTTGTGTTTCACATTTTCATAAAATATTAGGAATACATTTCTAAAATCCTTTTGTCTATAGGTCATATCCTACACCTGTATGTAGGTGTTTTCTCAAATTTCTGCCTTGGACTTTAACCTACATCCTCATATAATCAGATCAAGTTTGTTAAGTTTGCCAAAAGGGCTTAACATTGTACATACATTGTGCACTTTCTAACATACTAAGGCAGCTATTTAGAGATAGATTAAGTTGTTAGTATGCCAAGATATCACATTTTGTGTCTAATACTGTCTGTTTTCCAATCCAGATTTTCCTGGGATCCCAAATTATTAAAAAAAAATACTTTGAAAAATATTATAATGTTCAACCATTGTGGG